AAATAACAAAAAAATCGTAGGTGGCATATTTTAGCCGCAATAGGGTAGGGAAGTGTGGCAAAAAAGGGGCGTTGGCAGAGCCTTCGCCAGACAAGGTCTACTCCGCCCGAGCTGTCAGACGGCAGTTGCCACAAATATATTATTACCTAATTATTTCAATGTCTCTGATTGATTTTTTCTTAGTTTTTTTACAGTAATATTATTCCATACAGTGAATTGTGGTATATTTATATTATAAAATGTGTGAACCATCGCTGTACTCAAAATTATGGTGTGCATATTAGTGATTCAATTATTATGTTCATAAAACAATAAACAAATAGTTTTGCTGTTGTTACACTATATACACAGGTTATATATAAGTATTTGCATGTTTTGTACACCATAACGAACTACTAAGTTGGTCTTGTGAGTCAAAAAGCAACAAGGAGTGACCGCCAAACACCAGCGAGCCACTCACTGCCACTCCCTCCCTCAACACCACCTCACTCACCCTCATTCACCTCCCACAATACTCTTTCTGTATTTATTCACTATACACAGACGTTATATATACGTATTTACATGTTTTGTTCACCATAACTGTACATCTAAGCTTGTATGGTGAGTAAAGGTCATAAGACGTAGCTACTCACACAGTCAACTGATCGGCGGCCGCCCTCAAGGCCAGACGCACTAATATTTGTCTTTCAACAATATTGTTTGTGGTGTTATTACGCTATATACACACATTATATATAAGTATCTACCTGTTTTATTCACCATACCTGAACAAATAAGCTGGTATGATGCCCAAAGACCATAGTGGCCATCAGTAAACATGCCAAGTCGTGCAGACGACGCTCCTCCCTCACCAAAATGGCGGCTCCCAACCTACTCCTTTCACTGTTATCTCATACTATACACACGTTATATATAAGTATCTACATTTGTGTTCAGCATAGCAAACCACTAAGCTGGTATGGTGAGTGCAGTCAATAAATGGTGACCTTACCTTGCCTTACCTTGAGGTGCTTCCGGGGCTTAGCGTCCCCGTGGCCCGGTCGTCGACCAGGCCTCCTGGTTGCCGGACTGATCAACCAGGCTGTTGGATGCGGCTGCTCGCAGCCTGACGTATGAGTCACAGCCTGGTTGATCAGGTATTCTTTGGAGGTGCTTATCCAGTTCTCTCTTGAACACTGTGAGGGGTCGGCCAGTTATACCCCTTATGTGTAGTGGAAGCGTGTTGAACAGTCTCGGACCTCTGATGTTGATAGAGTTCTCTCTCAGAGTACCAGTTGCACCTCTGTTTTTCAACGGGGGTATTCCGCACATCCTGCCATGTCTTCTGGTCTCATGTGATGTTATTTCTGTGTGCAGGTTTGGGACCAGCCCCTCTAATATTTTCCACGTGTAAATTATTATGTACCTCTCCTGCCTGCGCTCAAGGGAGTACAGTTTTAAGCTCTTTAGTCGGTCCCAATAGTTTAGATGTTTTACTGAGTAAATTCTAGCAGTAAAGGATCTCTGCACGCTCTCCAGGTCAGCAATTTCTCCAGCTTTGAAAGGTGCTGTCATTGTGCAGCTGTACTCCACTCTAGAGAGCAAAAGCATTTTGAAAAGTATCATCATCGGTATAGCATCTCTAGTGTGAAAAGTTCTTGTTATCCAACCTGTCATTTTTCTTGCAGTTGTGACGGCTACTTTATTGTGTTCTTTAAAGGTAAGGTCTTCCGACATGAGTACACCCAGATCCTTTACATTGCCTTTTCGTTCTATGTTATGATTTGCCTGAGTTTTGTACGTGGTTTCCGTTTTTATATTTTCATTTTTTCCATAGCGCATGAGCTGGAACTTATCTTCGTTAAACACCATATTATTTTCTGTAGCCCATAGAAAGACCTGATCTACATCTGACTGGAGGTTCGCCGTGTCCTCTATGTTGCCTACTCTCATGAAGATCCTAGTGTCATCTGCAAAGGATGATACAGTGCTATAGGTTGTGTTCTTGTCTATGTCCGATATGAGGATGAGAAAAAGTACTGGAACAAGCACAGTACCCTGGGGGACTGAGCTCTTCACGGTTGATGGGCTGGATTATATTTTGTTGACTATTACACATTTCGTTCTGTTGGTCAGGAAATTTTAGATCCATCTGCCTATTTTTCCGGTAATTCCTTTTGAACGCATTTTATGTGCAATAACACCATGGTCACATTTATCAAAAGCTTTTGCGAAATCTGTGTAAATTACATCAGCGTTTTGTTTGTCTTCCATAGCATCTAATGCCATATCATAGTGGTCCAGCAACTGCGACAGGCAAGAGCACCCTGTTCTGAAACCATGTTGTCCGGGGTTATGGAGATGCTGTGATTCCATGTATTTTGTGATCTTACTTCTTAGCACTCTCTCAAAAATTTTTATGATGTGCGATGTTAGTGCTATCGGTCTGTAATTTTTTGCCTCTGCCTTATTTCCTCCTTTATGAAGTGGTGCTATCTCTGCTGTTTTTAGTATATCAGGAATAACGCCAGTATCTAGGCTTTGTCTCCACAGAATGTGGAGGGCCTGCGATAGTGGTTTTTTACAGTTCTTTATGAATATGGAGTTCCAAGAATCCGGGCCTGGTGCAGAGTGCATAGGCATACTGTTTATGGCTTCTTCAAAATCCAGTGGGGATAGGGTGACGTCTGATATATGATTTGATGTTGGTATCGTATCCATGAAAAATTCATTTGGGTTATCAATCTTTAGTGTGTTTAATGGTTCACTGAAAACAGAGTCGTACTGCTTCCTCAGTAGCTCATTCATTTCTTTGTTGTCATCGGTGAAAGTTCCATCTCCCTTTCGCAGGGGCTCGATACTATATGTGGTTTTTTATCTTGATTTTGCATAGGAGAAAAAATATTTCGGATTTCTCTCTATTTCACTGATGGCCTTTTGCTCTCTTTGCCTCTCCTGGGTTTTGTATGATTCTTGTAGCTTCCGTTCAATTGTTTCTATTTCTCTACCTAACCTTCTTCGCCGTTCTTGAGATAGGGTGCGACTCTCAAGTTGTTCCGCGATTCGTTTTCTTCGCCTATATAGGGAACAATGTTCCCGTTCCAATCTGCATCTTCCTCTTTTTTCTTTGGGGTATGCGGTTTGAACATATTTCTAGGGCTACTGAGCTTATTTTTTCCAGACACTGGTTCAGGTTTGCATTTTCTAGCTGTTCTTCCCAGTTTATTTCTGTGAAGTCCTGGTTTATTTGCTCCCAGGTTATCTGTTTATTATTGACGTTGAATTTGCTGAAATCTCCTCCACCGGGAATCTGGACTGGTTTTGAAGGTCTACTCCCCATGGTTGTCATAACTTCAATTAAGTTGTGATCTGAGTAACAGGTATTTGTAATCATTATGTTCCTGATCAATTCATCATTATTAGTGAAAATGAGGTCTAGCGTGTTCTCCTTCCTAGTTGGTTCTACTATTTGCTGGTTTAAGGCAAACCTGTCGCACATCCGTAGCAGGTCATTTGCATGTGCCTGTTCATTTAGGCTACTTCCTGGTATTCTTTCTGATATTACTGTATTAGCCAGGTGCTTCCATTTCAGGTGCCGTAGGTTGAAGTCCCCAAGCAGGATGATGTTCGGAGCTGGATTTGTGAGGTTTTCCAAGCAGTGTTCTATTTTCATTAGTTGGTCTTTAAACTGCTGAGGGTTTGCCTCCGGTGACTTATATACAAGGACAATAACTACATTTAAAATCTCTATTTTGATTATCAGCACTTCCACCATATCATTTGAGGTGTTTAGCAGCTCAGTACAGATGAGTGTGTCTTTGATGTAGAGGCTGACCCCACCCTGAAGCCGGTGTTTCCTATCACATCTGAAAAGATTGTACTCTGAGATCCATATTTCACCATCATGGTAGTCCTTTGTGTGGGTTTCTGTTAGGGCTGCAAACACTGCATTTGCCTCATGAAGGAGACCATCTATAAAGTGAACTTTGTTGGATTTGCGTGTTTTTATACCCTGGATGTTGGCAAATATAAATGATGTTATCGTGTTAGTGGCCACACACAGTCAGAAAATGACGCCACAACCCTCCCTCCCACAGCCTTACTCCTCCCTCCATGGAGCACAGTGCTAAATATCACCACAATCCTGCTATTATCAGAATCCTGGTCAGTTTTATCACAGTCAGGGGGCTTCAGTAATACTATCACTGCTAAATAATAGCAGTATCATTTATATTATGGTATTTGTAGGCGATGCTGTGGTCACAAGCTGAACAGCGGTGCTGTGAGCTTGTGCTGCGTGCGCCAGCCTTGGTGGCTTGCTCAATACTGACGCTGTAACACCCAAGAATGTTGGCTTGGATTTTTTTTCTAGGTGGCATCTGGCAACTATCGGTCGTGGCTGTACTATAGCTGCCCCTATCCCAGGCGGGGCGTTTAAATTATAGCGCTAGACACGAAATCATATATAAATGATGTGCGCGGTTTCGGTTTTGTCACCGATATCATTTATATATGATATGCGCGGTTTGAGGGTTAAGGGTTAAGAGAAGTGATGTCAGGATTGGAAGAGTTTTTGCCAAAATTAATATTTCATATCCTAGCACATTAATTAAAGTCTCAAGACTGAGGAGAGGGAGCCCACTAATTTATGTTCATTGATATTACTTTTACATGTTTTCTTTGTAAATATATAATTAGTATTACACACAATTTAGGTGTTTCTGTACTCTTTTGGGGATTTCCTGTAGAAATCTAACAGAAGGCTCATCTAATAAATCCCTAACAGTACAACCCAAGTGAAACTACACATAAGGCAAAATTCTTAGCCTAGATAAAGGTGTGCAGAAGACTATAGCACAGACCACTGGGAAGTAAGACTGCATCACAGTTAAGTGTTTTGTAGCTTGTTTACTCAGTACTTTTAAATTCTGGCTTTTAAATTCTGAATGTTCATTTAATTTAATTTAGTCTTATAATGTTTTGGTGTTGATGAATTCTTGGTAAAGGATTATTCCATGTATCTTAAAATGTGTATTTCTATTTATGTACAGTATTAATGTATTCCATGTATTTCTATTAATTACTTAATTACAAGTCGACAATTTCAAATTTTGTATTACCATAGCCTAATGACATGCATCTAATATTTACTAAAGAACAGATTATTGAAATATAACTTATAAAAAATGATGTCCTGCAGAGCATAATTCTACATAAAGCTATGAATACAAAGTTACCTTTATGGGACACATAGGACAACTCAGTAGTTTTATGATTAAGCTTACCGTCTCCAAATAATATGCTGGATTAGTGGAAAGTTGATATCCTGATATGTATCTTATCAACCCATCCTCTTGTTTAGGTAGTATCTATAGTGACAGTCATCAATAGTCACGAATTCATATGTACTTATAGATACTAATATACTGACTAGTAAGGAATTCTTTTAAAATAAATTAAGCTAAAAACAAACTTAAATATTCCTAGACCTAATATAGCACACATATGTACTATATTAGGTCTCGACTATTGTGTATTAGGCCTAGGAAGGTAAGGTTAGGTTAGATTAGTGTGTCAAGGCAACCCAAGTTAACACTTTCGCTCGGTAACGACACAGCATTGCGTCGTTTTTTTTAGTAGACGTAATCCCAGTAACGACACAGCATTGCGTCGTTTATTAAAATATTTGCCAAAAATCTGGGTTTTATCCAATTTGGGGGGACCCGTTTTAAAATGCGCGCCAACGTCTTCCCGTTTTCCTTGTTAGGCCTCATGGCCCCCAAGCGGCACGGTACACGCCGTAGGGCCATTGTTTTCACTCCACTATTGTGACCGGTGTCGCCTCCCCTCGTGTCTCAAACGTGTGAACATTTCGGCTATTTTCCGTGGCTATATTTCTTACTGCGGCTTTAGAAACATCTGCACTTACTCCACGATGGATAGTGATCATGAACAAGGCCCTTCCAGGAAGAAATTTGCGAAAGAAGGGCGTGAAAAGGAGAAGCTAAGTAGTGTACAAGAGAAATACAAGCGAGTCAGACTAACACCCTCTATGTTTCAGACTGTATTTGACGATTTGTCAGAGTTATCTAGTGAGGAAAGTGTTGTTGAGACCAACACTGATGAAGGTAGTGAATGTATAGAAACAGAGATGGCCGAGGTGGATTTTGGTAGTGATGGAAGTGACGATTCTGAGGTTGAGACTGCCACTCGTGCACAGCGAGGTACTGGAGCTCGTGCCAGAGCCAGACTTACCACACGTACCCCACCACCAACAGATTCTGATGAAGGGTGGTGTAGTGACAATACTCCACCCTTTGTGGACAATTTTACAGGTACACCAGGCTTGACTGTTCCTGTACCTACCCCTGCTATGGTTTTATTCAACTATTTCTCACTCAAAGCGTGTTGAAATATATTGCTTATGAAACTAATTTGTATGCTTCTCAAACTAAGGCACGTACTGGGAAAACGACAAACAAGAGATGGGAACCAGTGACAGTGAAAGACATTGCCAGATATTTGGGACTGATGATCTTGATGGGTATTTGCCCATTGCCAAGACTTAGAATGTATTGGCAAACAAACAGATTCTGGCACATACCTTGTTTCAACACCTTTATGACTGGTAAACGATTTGAAATGATTGCAAAGTATTTTCATATTTATAACAATAAGTCCAAACCACAAAGCCAAAAAGTTGACAGACTTATCAAAATTCGCTCAGTCATGCAATATCTCGTAAATAGATTCAAAACAATATACATTCCCCAGAAAAATTTGAGTTTGGATGAAGGGACAATGCCATGGTGTGGCCATCTATCTTTCAAGACCTATAATCCCAATAAACCTAATAAATATGGAATAAAGCTCTACATGCTAGCTGAATCCAAGACTGGCTACATTTGTGATTTTGAAATATATTCAGGAATTGGGAAAACGACGAATGAAACCATAATGGGCTTGATTGAACCACTGAAGAACCAAGGTTACCATTTATATATGGACAACTATTATAACTCGGTTCGGTTGAGTGAATTGCTGCTTGAATTAGGGGTATACACCTGTGGTACCATCAGAATGTAGCGTGGTGCACCTAAATCCCTTCAGATGCAAGCATAGGGTAAAGTGCCAGTAGATTAAACTTTATTCAAACGCAAGGACAATACTTTCATAATTTTGTGGAAAGATAAACAGTTGTTTCACTCATAACAACTTGCCACAATGCAGATACGCAACAAGTTGAACGTAGAAAACGAGTATGGAATCGTGATGAACATCCTCAGTGTGAACAGGCCAAATGCAATCTGTGACTACAATACAAACATGAAAGGTGTTGATCACTTTGACCAAATGGTCAAATATTATCACTTCACAAGGAAAAGTCACAAATGGACGAAGAAAATGACCTTCTATTTTATGCAAATGGCTATCCACAATGCTTATGTGATGTACAAATATTACACAACAGATAGAAGGAAACTGACATTACTCCATTTCCATGACCAAGTCATTTCGGCACTACTGTTCTTTAAGGCTAGTAACTGACCTCAGGAAAATGATGACATCCCACATCCTGCTGATGTCAATGCCACTGGAACCAATGTTGCAACACCCGGACCATCAACACCCGGACCTTCAACAGCAGGACCTTCAGGTGTGAGGCGCCCACTATTCACTTCACCTGTACCTGCAGATTTACCTTCATCGTCTGAGTCAGAAGATGAGACTCTGATTATCCCTAGTGGTGCTTCTGCAAGGACAAAACCCCGTATTGTGGATAATCCAGAATGCCTCAACAGAAACTTGTCGCATACCTAAGTAAAGATACAGAAGCATCTGAGGTGCCGCATGTGTGCAGAATGTCGGGTAAAAGGAGGGACACACACTATAAGTGCAAGACATGTGATGTTCCACTGTGTCCTGCACCATGCTACAGCAAATACCATCGAAAGAGACAATTCTGGGCTGATAAGCAGTAATGCTTGCCCACCATCCACTCCACCTATACAAAACATGAGTTGACCCTGCAGGAAACGTTTTCCAAGAGCAGGTGGAGTGGATAAAACAAATGTTCAACCCATGTCATGCTCCACAAACAACACTGAAGTGGTAAGTACAAAAAGTTGTAGTTTTTTGTATTTTTTTTCATACTTCCGTGTATTGTACTGGCAATATTGTTCTTCAATTGGCCTTTATATGCATATATCCATCTAAAGCATTCTATTAGGAACAATTTCATACCTAAATGAGCGCTGTAACACAAAAATTGAGATTAGCAACCGGAAAAAATACTAAACATTTGTGAGTAGGAATTGGGAGTGTAGCAGGAAGGCGTCTGGGCGCTCCCTTGCAGCTAATGCGTGGCCTGTCTTCAACTTGTCCGCGGGTGGAGCGTGACCCAGTTTTTTATTTTTTATGCTAATATTCCTCTAGAGAATTCTATTGCGAACCCATTAATACCAAAATGAAAGACCTATGACGAAAATTGAGGTGACCAGAGTGAAAAGAGTGAACACATTTTATCGCTTTTGCGCGCTCCTTGGTAACTCTTTCTCACTTTCTCTGCTGCGGGTAATTAGCCAGGCTTTTGGAGTTTATATGCATTTGGTGCTCTAGAGAATTCTATTGCAAACACATTGATACCAAATTTAATATCTTAGGATGAGAATTGAGGTGACAAAGTTGAAAAGACTATACAGTTTTCAGAATTAACGCGTGCTCCCGTGAAACGCTGAGGCCCACCCGGGGTAGTGGAGGGCTGGCGCGCCAGGTGCGTGAAAGTGTTAAAAAACATAGTTTTCCAGTTTGTCCAACTCAATAGTTCAGATTTCCATTTTCTAATTTTGTTGTACGTCGGTATATATACTATGGTCCTCATTGTTACTATATATACTACCAAAACAGGAGGATGGGCTAATCTGATATAATACTGTACTAATTAAATGAATAGCACTCAAGATTTATCTAACATACACACCATATGGTGCCTTTTAAACTTTGTTTACTATGACTTTTTCCCACAAGACAAGATTCCAGGCTTAATGAGGATTATCACTTGAATGTGCTAATATGTGACGTACCATATAACTACGATGCCTAAATCTTTTCCCACACTCAGCACACTCTAAACGCTTATAATTTGTATGCACCAACATGTGACTCTTTACATATTGAAGACTACCGAATCTTTTCCCACACTCTGGACACTCATGAGGTTTATCACCTGTATGCACCAACATGTGAGTTTTCTTAGTTTTAAGAAGCCTGAATCTTTTCCCACACTCTGGACACTCATGAGGTTTTTCACCCGTATGAACTAACATGTGAGCTTTCACAGCTGAACGATGCCTAAAACTTTTCCCACACACTGAACACTTATGAGGTTTTTCACCTGTATGCACCAACATATGAGTCTTCAAAGTTTCAAGATGTGTGAACCTCTTCCAACACTCTGGACACTCATGCGGTTTCTCACCCGTATGCCTCAACATGTGAGTCTTCAAATTTCTAAGTTCAATGTAACTTTTCCCACACTCTAAACACTTGTGAGGTTTATCACTTGCATGCACCAACATGTGGCTCTTCATACCTCCAAGCTGAATGAATCTTTTCCCACACTCTGGACACTTATGAGGTTTATCACCCGTATGCAGTGACATGTGATTCTTGATAGATCCAAGATGACGAAATCTTTTTCCACACTCTGGACACTCATGAGGTTTATCATCTGTATGCACCAACATGTGAGTCTTCATAGATCTAAGTTTGACCCTTTTCCCACATTCTGGACATTCACGAGGTTTATCATCTGTATGCAGCAGCATGTGATTCTTAATAGATCCAAGATGACGGAATCTTTTTCCACACTCTGGACACTCGTGAGGTTTTTCACCAGTATGCACTAACATGTGAGTTTTCATGTGTCCAAGTTCACCAAATCTTTTCCCACACTCTGGACACTGGTGATGTTTCATTTTCTTTATAAACAAGTAGTTTGTGTGACGGTTATCTCCTGATGACTATAGGAGTTATCTTGTTACTTGGGGTATCTACTAGAGATAAAACACTTGTTGCTGTTGGGTAGGATAATAAAACCAGGGTGCTATCTTACCATTGGTGTAGAATAGGGAGCCACAGAGGTCATTCCTAGAGGTGCAGATGCATGGACAATGGAAGAGGATTCCTACTGTCACCACCTGCTTGGGGCACAATCAAGTAGTGAATGAAGACATCAGGAGGGAGATATGAAGATGCAAAAGGTGACAGCAGAGGCCAATCCTGGTGGAGTAGAAGCACAGACAATGGAGGTGGTGTCCTGTGTTTCCTCTTTCTGCCAGCTGGGTTCGTCTCTCAGCAGCCACGGCAGCAACAATCACAGAGACAGGCTCCGACCCCCAGCCATGTTGAATCTTCAAGTGACATAGGACAACAACATTAAGGTGTTGTATTGATAATGGCATCCCATGCTATAGTTTTATACAAATCTCTTGAAAATTATCTGAGAAAACTTGTAAGTATTAATTCATAGCAAAATTGTCAAATACATATAAAATGGAAGAACTGTAGTGTATTATGGTTAAAATAATAATGATTATAATAATAATAATAATAAAAATAATAATATTTCATTGCAAAAATTCTAAAGGATACCTGGAGCATACATGGACTGTGTTTCAAGAGTTCTATACTCACCTAGCCCGGTCTGAGGCCAAGCTTGACTTGTGATAACTTGGTCCAACAGGTTGTTGCTTAGAGTGGCTCGCTGGCCCACATATCCACTACAAGCTGATTGGTCCGGTACTTCTTGCAAGAATCTGTCCGAGTGCCTCTTGAATATCTCTACTTTCATTCCGATAATATTTATAATGCTTGCAGGGAGGGTGTTGAACAGCCATGCACCCCCTGATGTTCAGTGTTCTCTGATTGTGCCTATGGCACCTCTACTCTTCAATGGTTCTATGCTGCATTTCTTTACATATCTTTTACCCCAGTACATTGTTATTTTACTGTGTAAATTAGAGACCTGGCCCTCCAGTATCTTTCATGAATGTACAGTATTATTTGATACCTTTCTCGTCTCCTTTCCATAGATTATATTTTGAGAGCTTTGAGAAGGTCCCAATAATTTAGATGTTTTATCGCTTCTATGCGTGCCGTATATGTACTCTGTATTCCCTCTAATTCCAATGTCTCTCGTGCTCTGAAAGGGGAAGTGAGTACCGAGCAATAATCAAGGCGGGACAGCACCAGTAGTTTAAAGTGTTAGCGTTGCTGTGGGGTTCCTGGATTTGAACGTTCTCATAATCCATCCTATCATTTTCCAGGCCGCCGCTGAATTTGCTCGGTTATGTTCACTAAATGTCACGTCATTAGACATAATTCCCAGATCTTTTACATGTTGCTTTCCTTCTATGAGGAGGTTTGTTTGTGACCTGTACCCTGTGTTTTGTTTAAGTTTCTCGTTTCCACCACACCTAAGTACCTGGAACTTGTTACCGTTAAACATCACAATATTTTTATTTGCCCAGTCGAATAGTGGAACCCTGACTTATGAATGCCCCTACTTATGAATTTTTTGAGTTATGACTGCAATTTTGTCAGAAAATTTGACTCGACTTAAGACCTTTCCCTCGACTTCCGACTTTGTTGATAAACGTATGGGTCGATGGATATATAATTATTAACCACTAAACTGTGCAACGCGCCTGCAGGCCCTCGACAGGGGGTGTGCAACTCGCCTCCGGGATCTTATATTTTTAGTGAATGATTCAAAACTCCCGCGGCTACATGGGGTTCATATCAGCTTCCTCAGGGCTCCTGTAAACATATGCTCTCCTAAAAAAAAATCATGGACAACATTCCCGGGTGTGAGAGCCTCGGTACTGAGTGAGCAACCAAGGCTGGCACACGCAGCATGAGCTCACAGCACTGCTGTTCAGCTTGTGACCACAGCATCGCCTAATAATGTCAAAATATATATATAACTGGTATTATTTAGCCATGATAGTATTACACAAGAGCTTGAGTGTGATAATAACTGTGTACAATGTTCAAATATCAGTGAATCAATGCTGTTCACCATGTTCACAGCGCTAGCCACAGCACCACAGCATTATTTCGTCCATCTAGGAATCTTCAAACGACTTCATATGTTACTTTACAAAACAAAATTGTGGTCAATTATTCATTTACAGGATTTAGTGACCAGGATTGTGATAATAGGAGGATTGTGGTGATAATTAGTGCTGTGCATAGTATTGTGGGAGGACGAAGTATGGTGAGGGAGGGAAGGAATCCAGATAGCGTCTCTGTGTGGGGCAGCCACTCTTCTTTTGCTCACCATACTAGCTTAGTGGTTCGCTATAGTGAACACATATGTACATGGGTATATACAATGTGTATGTATATAGTATAATAACAGCAACAGGAGTATGTTAGGAGGAGCCATTTTGGTGAGGGAGGCGGCGTCATAATCATAGAATCGTCTGCTGGCTGCTGTGTGATTTCTCATGCAGTGTATGCTTGCCACTGTGCTGTTTGAACACAATACCGGCTTGCTTGCATAGTTATGGTGAATAAAACATGTAGATACATATACATAATGTGTGTAAATAGTGTAATACAAACAATAACAGTATGGTGGGAAAAGTAATGTTGGTGAGTAAGGTGTAAGGAGTAAACGAGGTGCTGGAGGAGTGAGGGAGAGTTGGCTGGGTGTGGCAGCTCACACTCACAGAGTTCTGAGTGTGTTGACGGTTATCTTGAGATGATTTCGGGGCTTTAGTGTCCCCGCGGCCCGGTCCTCGACCAGGCCTCTACTCCCAGGAAGCAGCCCATGATAGCTGACTAACTCCCAGGTACCTATTTTACTGCTAGGTAACATGTGCATAGGGTGAAAGAAACTCTGCCCATTGTTTCTCACCGGCGCCCGGGATCGAACCCGGGACCACAAGATCACGTGTCCAGCTTGCTGTTCGCTCGGCTCGCCTTGTGAATAAATACGGTGAATGTATATAACGTGTGATAGTGTATAATGTGTAATTATGTTGTAAATATACATAAATGAACATGAAACATTGGATATATGAGCAATATATGTGGACACATTTGAGAGACATATAACACAGTGTCTTGGGACAGTACGGATGTTCTACTGCCATAAAATTGTATACTTGTTCATTATACATAGGATTAGCAAGAAAAACAAAAATGTATTTGGAAATGTACGCAAAAAAAATAACAAAAAAATATTTGTGGCAACTCACGCATGTTGAATCTGGCGGGCGACTGCCTCCGGGAGTCTACGTCACGGGCGACCACCAAATCGTGACGTTACACGCCATTTTCTGGACCCCATTGTAGCCAAAGTAATTACAATTTTGATTTTTTTTTACGTATCTGCGATCAGGGAAACGTATTTAACATTTTCAAAAACAAAAAGAATTTTTTCCCAAGAATTTATTTCCTGCGCACAGAGGGGGGTGCCGTATTTGGAAGGCAAGCAGCACAGTGGTTAACCCTTAAATGGCGCCTGGCTATTTATCATGTGTCACTCACAGGCGCATACCAAAAAAAAAAAAAAAAAATTTATTTTTTCTTCCTAACCTGTTAATTTGTGTTCACTGATCATATGAAAAATAATAAAAAATCATAAGTGGCATATATTACCCGCTATAGGGCGGGGAAGTCTGGCAAAAGAAACAGGCGCTGACTCAGCAAGCGTCCCAGACAGTCTGTTGCTCGCCAGCTGTCAGGCCGGAGTTCCCACAAAGAGATAATTACCTAATTATTTCAGTGTCTGATTGATTTTTCATAGTTTTTTTGCTGTAATATTATTCAATAGTGTGTAGTGTGATATATTTATATAATGAAATGAGTGAATCATCGCTGTACTCAAAAATATGGTGTGCATATTGTTGATTCAATTATGTTCATCAAACAGTGAACAAATACTTTGTTGGTTATTACACTATATACACAGGTTATATATAAGTATCTGCATGTTTGTTCACCATAACGAACCACTAAGTTGCTATTATGAGTCAAAAAGTAACGAGGAGTGACCGCCACACACCAGCCAGCCACTCACTCCCTCAACACCTCACTCGCCCACATTCTCCTACCCACCATACTGTTTCTGCTTTTATTTACTATATACAGATGCTATATATAAGTATCTACATTCATGTTCACCATAACAAACCACTAAGTTGGTATGCTGAGTGGCAGTAGCGGTGGCAGCCAGTGGCAGCCCGCCACTGGCTGCCACTCCCTCCCTCCCTCACCTCACCTGACTTGCCACCATTCTCCTCCCACCATACTGTACTGTTTTTGCTTTTATATACAGACGTTATATATAAGTATTTACATGTTTTGTTCACCATAACTGTACATCTAAGCTTGTATGGTGAGTAAAGGCACAAAGACGTAGCTACTCACACAGTCAGTTGGTGGCGGCCGCCCTCAAGGCCAGATGCACTAATATTTCTCCTCCAACAATACTTTTTGTGGTGTTATTACGCTATACACACATTATATATAAGTATCTAACTGTTTTATTCACCATACTTGTACAAGTAAACTGGTATGGTGCCCAAAGACCATAGTGGTCACCAGTAAACAACATGATATACCGTGCAGACGATGCACCTCCCTCACCAAAATGGCGGCTCCCAACCTATTCCTATTGCTGTTTATACCCTTTATACACACATTATATATAAGTATCTACATTTGTGTTCACCATAGCGAACCACTAAGCTGGTATGGTGAGTGCAGTCAATAAAAGGTGGCCACACACAGTCAAAAGATGACGCCACCACCCTCCCTCCCACAGCATTACTCCTCCCTCCATGGAGCACAGCGCTAAATATCACCACAATCCTGCTATTATCAGAACCCTGGTCAGTTTTATCACAGTCAGGGGGCTTCTGTAATAATATCATTGCTAAATAATAGCAAGAACATGTATATTATGGCATTTTTAGGCGATGCTGTGGTCACAAGCTGAACAGTAGTGCTGTGAGCTCATGCTGCATGCATCAGGCTTGGTTGCTCACTCAATACTGAGGCCCCTCACACCTGGGAATTTGGCCCACGATTTTTTTTTGTTAAATGGCGTCTGTTTACAAGAGCCCTGATGAAGGTGTAGTGAACCCCGTGTATCCGCGGGTCATTTAAATCTTGCGCGGTACTCCAAAACATCATATGATGCCGAGTACAATTTACTGCAAGTCACTCAACGCATCATATGATGTCTTGCGCAACTAAAGGGTTAAATATCATGCCATGGGTCACAAGAAAGTCAGTGATAAGGTTCAACCTAAGAAAACACGTGAAGATGACCACAGAGGAAAAACCAAGAGATCATTCATAAACATGAAGATGGTGTGCGGATTGTTGATCTAGCTAGGCAGTACAACAAATCCATGTGTGTGTGTGTGTGGCCACGTCTGTGGTAGAAAATAATAATAAAAAAAAAAAAAAAAAAAAAAAAAAAAAAAAATCCATGTCAACGATATCCACCGTACTTGCTAAGAAAAAGAACATTATGAATGCTAAAGTGGCAAAAGGCATATCAACAATCACAAAACAAAGAACACAAACACTTGAGGATGTTCAAAAGTTATTATTAATTTGGATACACAACAAGGAATTAGTGGGTGATAGCGTTTTAGAGGCCAAGCTTTGTGAAAAAGCAAGGCTATTGCATGAAGATCTTATAAAGAAAACCCCTGGAACAAGTGATGCAGATACAAAAGAGTTTCAGGCGAGCAGGGGATGGTGTGAGAAATTTAGAAAAAGAGATGGCATTCATAGTGTTGTGAGGTATGGTGAGGGGGGGGGGTGTCAGCTCAGACAAACCAGCGGCTGAAAGATTTGTTGGCGAATTTAAAGATTTTGTGGAGAGTGAGGGATACATACTACAAAAAGTGTTTAATTGTGACTAGACAGTGCTATTCTGGAAAAGATTGTCGAAGAGAATGTACATTACCCAGGAGGAGAAGTCATTGCCCGGACACAAGCCTACGAAAGATAGGTTTACTCTTGTGCTGTGTGGTAATGCGAGTGGCGATTTGAAAATTAAACCCTTGCTTGTGTA